ATCAACAATATTAAATACTGTCCAAATATAACACCAAAAAAAACAATAAAAATCATTACGCCTTGTAGAAAATGTCCCATCTGTCATCTGGTGATGATTTAAAAACATTTTAGTAAGGCGTTTGTTCTAAAATATTAAAAGCTAATAATTTAGGAAAGGCAGAATTCAGAACCAAAATAGCCAGGTAGACAAATCCAAAAACAAAATGCATTAAGACCAAGATCAACAAGACATGAGAACAAAATGTGGAAAAGAATTGCAGCTAAAAACTGAAACAGGAAGTGACTTCCTAGAACTTTGTCAAGGTGAAGGAGGAACTGCAAGCACACACTGCAAAGATGGAAAGCAAAATTCAAATTCAAATTGAATTATTTCGCTGCCTGGCAAGAACGGCTGCATTTTTCTAGAAAAGCTCATCTGCTTGCAAATACAACCCCAGTTCCAGAGAAGTTGGGACATTTTGTAAAATGCAATAAAATCAAGAATCTGATTTTGTTCATTCTCTTTCAATTTTATTTAATTGACAAAAGTACAAAGAAAAGATTTCCAAAGTTTTCACCGACCAATGTAAATGTATTTTGTAAATATGAACAAATTTTGATTTTGATGGCTGCAACACACTCCAAAAAAGTTGGGACAGAGGCATGTGTCACGAATCCGGTCCATGAACTTCCCATTTCATTGACTCTCGCACTACACACTGTTGCACATCACCCCGGACTACATTTCCCATCATTCATTGCACGGATTGCACACACCTGTTTACACTGATTGCACCCAGCTGTTTCATATCACTCCCTCACTATTTAACACTCACTCTGATCCCTTCCCTCTGCCGAGTATTGTTCAGCGTTTATCACTTCCCTAGCGATAGCGTCCTGTCTGCCTCGGTTTGGCCCTGCCTGCTTTATGACCACGTCTGTGTCTTCTCCTATTAAAGCTTTGCATTTGGATCCGAATGTCTCATGTCTCGTCAGCCTCGTTACAGCATGCTTAACACTGTCACATCAACCTTCCTTTTAATTACAATGTTTCGTTGTTTCGGAATTGAGGATACTAATTGTTAAAAGTTCAGCAAGCAAATTTTGTTTTGGATCCGAATGTCTCATGTCTCGTCAGCCTCGTTACAGCATGCTTAACACTGTCACATCAACCTTCCTTTTAATTACAATGTTTCGTTGTTTGGGAATTGAGGATACTAATTGTTAAAGTTTTTTAAGCAAAATTTTGTCCAGTCTCACTTGACCCGAGACTTCAGAAGCTCAGCAGTCTGTGATCGTAGTTGTCTGATTCTCCTTTTCATGACTGGTCATACATTTTCAATTGGAGACAGATCTGGACTGCAGATAGGCCAATCTAACACATTCACTCTGTCTCTACGAAATCACGCTGTTGTAGCACATGCAGAATAAGATCTGGCATTGTCTTGATCTAATAACCATAGACTTCCCATGAAAGACATCATCTTGATGGCAGTATATATCTCTGTACAATCCCAATATATGCCTCCATGTCAATAGTACCTTCACACATATGCCAGTCACCCATGCTGTTTGCTCTGCTGCACCCCCATACCATGACAGATGTTTGCTTTTGCTTCTGTCGCTAATGAAAGTCTGGATGGTCCCTTTGGTCTTTGGGACTAAGAAATCAAAATCCATTTTTCCTGGAAACAAGTCTTTTTGACTATCTGAGATTAGTTCTGGCCCAGAGAACCTGGCAGCATCGCTGCATAGAATTGATGTATAGCTTTCTCCTAGAGTAACAGATATTCAAGTTGCATTTCTTGATGCAGAAGCAGACTGTGTTAAGTGACAGCAGTTTTCTGAAGTACTCCTGAGCCCATGTGGCTATATTTTACACTGCAGGTTTCCTGCCTTGCCCTACATGTACTGTGATTTCTCTGGATTCCCTGAATCTTTTCACAATATTATGTATGGTACTTGTTGAAAGACCTAAATTCTTTGCAATTTTGCATTGCGAAATGTGATTTGTGTGACACGTCTCTCGTGAAATTTGGCACAAAGTGATGAGCCATGATCCAGCTTTGCTTGCAAAGACTGAGATGCTCCTTTTATACCCAAACATGATACCTTGACATATTACCAATTCACCTGCTTACTGTGAACCGTTTCAAAACAGTTTAACGTGGATATTCTATAACCTTTTCACTTTTATCTTGCCTCTGTCCCAACTTTTTTGGAATGTGTTGCAGTCATCAAAAACAATATTTGTTCATATTTACAAAATACATTTACGTTGATCAGTGAAAACTTTGGAAATCTTTTCTTTGTACTTTTGTCAATTAAATAAAAGTTAAAGAGAATTAACAAATCACAGATTTTTGATTTTATTGCATTTTTCAAAACATCCCAACTTCTCTGGAATTGGGGTTGTATTCATCTTTATTTTCACAGAGTGAAAATCCTAAAAGAAAAGGCTCTTCCAGAGATTGAGAACTACATGTTTGAGGAACATGATCAAATCAGACAAGCTGCCACAGAGTGCATGTGCAATCTGGTTTGGTTCAAAGAGGTATAAAATACCCATTTTAGAACACATTTAGCTAACCAAATGTTGCATTTTTGTAGGTTTGGATGGAAAAATTGACCAAATTAATTCATTTCAACAGGTTCAAGACAGATATCTGGAAGATGGCAATGATAAACTCAAGCTTCTTGTCCTGCTCTGCGGTGAAGATGATGAGCAGCTTCAGAGGGCAGCTGCTGGTGCACTGGCTATGCTTACCACCGCACAGAAGAAACTGGCTGTTAAGATGACTAAAGTGGTATGTATCATAAACAACAGTTGTCAGTTCCATGTGATTCATTTGTCAAACTGTCATCTACTGCTTTCCTAAGTATTGTGGCAGTACCATGGTACACATGGTACAATATTGCTATCAGATACTCATACCAAAGTTGATTGATATTATGTTTTGTCATCTACAGACTGGGCAGTGGCTTGAGATCAGATTGTGCATCCATGACAACCCTGAAATTCAGCACGGTGTTTAATATGCTGGACGCTGATGAACAACTAGCCAAGAAGCTCATTGAATGTGAACTGCTGGAAATCCTGACATATGTGGCAAAACTAGAGGACAACCCCAAGAAGCAGGATGCTATTAATGCTGCCCGCGCCTGCCTGTCTAGAGCCATGGATAGTGGATTCATCAAACCATTTTCAAATTAAACCGAAAACAATTCATTGTGACGTATCATTAGGCTAATAGAGAATGGTCTGCTTTCTGGGAAAGTGGAAAAACTGTAAACCATTTGCAATGTTTTATTTTGAAAATTTCTACTGATAAGCATAGTTGTTTTTGTTAGTGATATGTTTGTGTGGCTGTTTGTTTGGTCAGTGGAATTTATTTTACATGCTCATTTAATGTATTTGCACTTGTGAAGTTTTGATTCGCAGATAAAAATCTTTTTTGGAGAAAAAAATGAATGGAATCTATTTCTTCATATTGGCATTAACACAATTACCCTTTTTAATATATTTGTGCAAGTAAACCAATAAACACATTTACAATGGAACAGTTCATTGAACATTATAAAATATTGCAAAAATAAAAACTAAATTTTAGTCCCAAAAAGGGGGGGGGGGGGGAACCCCAAGAAGCAGGATGCTATTAATGCTGCCCGCGCCTGCCTGTCTAGAGCCATGGATAGTGGATTCATCAAACCATTTTCAAATTAAACCGAAAACAATTCATTGTGACGTATCATTAGGCTAATAGAGAATGGTCTGCTTTCTGGGAAAGTGGCAATTTGGTGCAGTTGCTGATATTTATATGGCCAGAAAGTATGGCCGAATTTTGATAGCTTGTACTGTAAATCAATAGGATTTATAAAACGGTATATCAGACTATCATAAAATGCATATAAGTATCAATTATCATTCTATACCTCAGAATAATGTCTTAATGTCTCATATTTAAATGCGTAGTTTTATGACCTCTTTAGTTTTCATTCTGAGGGCAAACATATCCAGTGACTGAGAAATGTACAAATGAACGTTCCTTAAAAGCCTGTTTCATCATATTTGATACTTAAATTTTAACATAATTGTTCTAAAAAATGGAAAGTTGCTTCAGTCAAGTAACAATGTCTCCAAGATGCTTCAAGAAATCTACCTGCAAAGCTACCTGAAAAACTACGGGCAAGTGCACCTAGGGCAAAAGCTGCTTTAAACGCAAAGGATGGTCACACCAAATGTTGATTTAATTTAGTTAATAGGAGTTCATTGATGAAGAAAATCTGTTTATGACTTTATTTTTGACAGCATCCTCATTTTACAGCATTTTTACACAAGTGCCTAAAACTTTTAACAGCACTGTAGCTTTGCAGGGAGGTCTCTTATAGCATCTTGGAGACATTGCCACAGTTCTTCTGGATTTAGCCTTTCTCAGTTTCTTCTGTTTCTTCATGTCATTCCAGACAGACTGGATGATGATGAGTTCAGATCTCTGTGTGGAGCACTGGCTGCTGTCAGACAAAAATCTTCCTGGATTATTACAATTAATGGCAAAATGAATGTTTGGAAATGTAAACTGATATTTCCTTCTTCTTCTTGAAATTTATTGGCGGTTAACAACAAAATGGTGTATTTCCGCCACCAACTGGTATGGAGTGTGGATCAACATGACTTACTCCCGTCCCCCCTTTTTTATTTTTGTTTTTTTTATATTCTCTCCCACAAATTAGTTATTTTAAGGTACTGAAAAATAAAACTATAGCATTCATTCCTTTGAGTTATTTTGTCAAATATATATCTGTGTAAACTGCATTTTTATTTTTTCTAAGTTTTGCGCTAGAATCCTTCTTTCAGTCTCGTATTTCTGACAGTACAGTATAACACGTTCCACTGTTTCTGCTTGTCCACAAAATTCACACCTTCCCGTTTCATGTTTACCCATTTTATAAAGTGTAATATTTAATCTTGTGTGTCCAAATCTCATCCTTGATATTACTATCTCATCTCTCCTGTTTTTCCCTGCACTTCTCATCTCTCCCACTTTCCTTTGAATTCTGTAAAACCACCGATCTGAACATAGCTGGTCTTACCTTTGAATTCTGTAAAACCACCAACCTTTTTTCTCCTTATCCCATTGTTTTTGCCACCTTCAGTCTTTTCTTAACAATACTCTTGATTTCATTCTTACTTAAATTAACAATTAAGTTAATGTCGTTGTTTTTAACCGCTTCTTTTGCTTCTTTATCTGCAATTTCATTTCCTTGGATACCAATATACGCCGGCACCCATAGAAATACCACTGTAATCCCCATCATTTGAATTCTATATAACGTTTGCATTATTTCCATTAAAATGTCTGGTCTACTTTCCGAGTGACTGTACTGTAAACTAGCCAATGATGAACATGAATATGAACATGAATCTGAACAAATAACTGATTTCAAAGGTCTTATCTCTTCTATCCACTGTATTGCTAATAACAGTGCAATCATTTCCCCTGTATAAACAGATAACTCATCACTGATCCTTTTCCTTACTGATAAATGAAATTCTGGAACAGTAAACGCTACTCCTATCTTATTATCCAAACTCTTTGATGCATCTGTGTAGATCTGAACATAGCTGTAGTACTCATTAATATATGTCTGCACATTATACAAATTACATTCCTTGCCTTTATTTTTCTGTTCTAACAATGTAAAATCTACTGAAGCATCCGAAAGTAACCAAGGTTTTATTACAGGTAGCGGTACAGTTGGAGTAACATTTCACTGATTAACTTTAAGTTCTGTTGCTTTCTGTATCACTGTCCATCCAAAGCTTTTCATTTTCCTCCTCTCTTTTTCCCAACAGGGCTTTAAAGTACACTGTAAAAAATGACAGTGAATTTAACGGTAAAAGACTGTAAAAATGCTACAGTAAAAACCTGTTAAATGGTTAACGGTAAATTCCCCTACTATGTATGGTGAAAAACTGTATTGGACATTTCTGTGGAGATCTGAACATAGCTGTAGTACTCATTAATATATTTCTGCACATTATACAAATTACATTCCTTGCCCTTATTTTTCTGTTCTAACAATGTAAAATCTACTGAAGCATCCGAAAGTAACCAAGGTTTTATTACAGGTAGCGGTACAGTTGGAGTAACATTTCACTGATTAACTTTAAGTTCTGTTGCTTTCTGTATCACTGTCCATCCAAAGCTTTTCATTTTCCTCCTCTCTTTTTCCCAACAGGGCTTTAAAGTACACTGTAAAAAATGACAGTGAATTTAACGGTAAAAGACTGTAAAAATGCTACAGTAAAAACCTGTTAAATGGTTAACGGTAAATTCCCCATATACGGTGAAAAACTGTATTGGATATTACATGTATTGGACAGTCATTTTACGGTAGTATAACGTTTTTGGAAGTGAAAAAGACCGAATTGACATTCCCAGAATTCCCTGCATTACATTTAAAATTGGATGTTTTTTTTGTTGAAATAACTATGTTTCTTCTTAGTTTTTTCTTATCAGTTTTGTATATTAGGGTTGTGTGTTACACCTAATGTTGTTACATGAATGTTTATTGCATTATTTCAGTTTCATGTGTGTTACCATGATGGTGTTTGGTGTTTGTGTGAATGACACTGTGCACCTTCTATATATGTTAT